GCCTGTCACAGAGCCACTGTCACATGGGCAAAGAGAACTCTGCGCCTGTCACAGAGCCACTGTCAGACTGGGAAAGAGAACTCTGTGCCAGTCACAGAGCCACTGTCAGACTGGGAAAGAGAACTCTGTGCCAGTCACAGAGCCACTGTCACATGGGGAAAGAGAACTCTGCGCCTGTCACAGAGTCACTGTCACACAGGCAAAGAGAACTCTGCACCTTTCACAGAGCCACTGTTACATGGACAAAGAGAACTCTGTGCCTGTCACAGAGCCACTGTTACATGGGCAAAGAGAGCTCTGGAGGGTCTCACTCACACCAGGCCTGGAAATGACACTTTCACGGGGCTCACAGGTCACTGGCCCACCCACTTGCAGGTGAGGTGGGCAAGGGCAATTCTAGCACCTGCTCAAAGGGTGAGAAGCTGGAAAGACTTGGGTGAATTGTACTGATTACTATCGTAGATACATAATAAAATTAAAAAGCATAAACATTTGTGAAATAATATTTAGAAGTTGTCCTTTTAGGAATAAAAAGAGTTCCGTTTCAATAGGTCTTTGTATTCCCAGTGCAATTGTGAATTCCTTGAAGACGAGCAGTGTTCCTTCCTTCCTTGGGAGTTGTCACGCACCTATCACAGGACTGAGACCATGGGAAGCATGAGAACAGGAACTGCAATCCTAATGATGGTAAGTGACACGCTCACTAAGTGCTAGACTGCACATTCTCTCCAGAGCCCACACGAAGGTGCCAGGCACAGCTCTCTGCACCTTATATGGATTAATGCACCGAATCCTCACAGGAAAAACTTGTGAGGTCAGTACGATTATTACAAGGCAAAGAAACTGAGGCACAGATGGGCTCGGGGACATGCCCAGGATCGCCACTAGGAAGATGCAGAGCCAGGAATGAATCTAGGTGGCTCCAGAGCCCATGTGTTCCTGTGACCTGCACAAGCGCTGGAAGGCAGGGACAGCAGAAGAGACAGGTTTCTGCAGGCCTACAGCAGCCTACCCTCTGTGGAACCCCTGTGAAAGGCTGAATCAGCCCCCATCACTCCGAAGATGTCTTTGTCCTAATCTCTAGAACCTGTGAAAGTTACCTTATTTGGCAAAAGGAATTTTGAAGATATGATTAAATTAAGAATCTTAGACTGGGTTCAGTGGCTTATGCCTGGGAGGCCAGTGTGGAAAGATCACTTGAGGTCAGGAGTTCAAGACCAGCCTGAGCAAGAATGAGACTCTGTCCTCTACTAAAAAATAGAAAAAATAGCTGGGCCTGGTGACACAGGCCTGTAGTCCCAGCTACTCAGGAGACTGAGGCAGGAGGATCACTTAAGCCCAAAAGTTTGAGGTTGCAGTGAGCTACAATGATGTCACTACACTCTACCCAGGGTGACAGAGTGATACTGTCTCTCTGTCAAAAAAGAAGAATCTTGAAATCCCAGCATGGTGACTCACGCCTATAATCCAGCATTTTGGGAAGTTGATGTGGGAGGATAGCTGGAGGATGGGAGTTCAAGACTAGCATGAGCACCATAGCAAGACCCCCCAAGAAAAAATTAGTCGGGGGTGGCATGTCCCAGTAGTCTCAGCTACTCAGGAGGCTGAGGAAGAAGGATCACTTGGGACCAGGAGCTTGAGTTAGTAGCAAGCTGTGATGATGTCATGGCACTCTCATCTTGCCAACAGAATGAGGCCTTATCTTTAAAAAAAAGAAAAAGAATCTCAGTGCTTGTATCTCAGCAGCTAGGATGCCAGCCACTATGTCTCAGTGGCTAGGATGCCAGAGCTGGCTGGGTTTGAATCCAGCCTAGGCCTGCCAAACAACAAGGACAACTACAACCAAAAAAATAGCTGGGCATTGTGGCAGGCACCTGTAGTCCCAGCTACTTGGGAGGCTGAGGCAAGAGAATCGCTTAGGCCCAAGAGTTGGAGGTTGCTGTGAGCTGTGATGCCATGGCACCCTACCCAGGGCGACAGCTTAAGACTCTGTCTCAAAAAAAAAAAAAATTTTTTTTTTTTTTTTTTTTTTGAGACAGAGCCTCAAGCTGTCCCCCTGGGCAGAGTGCCGTGGCATTACAGCTCACAGCAACCTCCAACTCCTGGGCTCAAGCGAGTCTCCTGCCTCAGCCTCCCAAGTAGCTGGGACCACAGGTGCCCGCCACAGCGCCCGGCTATTTTTTGGTTGCAGCCATCATTGTTGTTTGGCAGGTCCAGGCTGGGGATTCGAACCCGCCACCTTAGGTGTACGTGGCTGGTGCCTTAGCCGGTTGAGCTATAGGCGCCGAGCCAAAAAAAAAAAGAATCTTGAGATGAGGAGATCATTGTAGATTATCAGGGTGGGCCCAGTGTAATCACAGGATCCTCATAGATGGAAGAGAAAGGCAGCAGAGTCAGAGTTATGGTGGAAGCAGAAATTGGAGTGATGTGGCCACACACCAAGGCATGCTGGCAGCCTCTAGAAGCTGGAAGAGGCCAAGAACAGATTCTCACATGCAGCCTCCAGAAGGAATGCAGCTCTGCCAATACCTTAATTTTAGCCTCATAAAACATAAGCCTCTCAACCTCCAGAGCTATAAGAGAATAAATGTGTGTTGTTTTAAGTGACTAAGGTTGTAGTAATATATGATAGCTGCAACAAGGAAACGAATACATCTCACCTGTCCATTACTCTCTTCAGAGACCCACTGGGTAGACAGAAACTCCTTTGTACCCCTTCGTCCCAGCCTCCTGTGTCTCATTGAAATAGAGACTGAGAAGAACTGAGAAAGGCCTGGGAATAGTTGTCGCATCTATTTGTTGTTCCATACCTTGGAACATGGTGCACACTGCATTGCCTGCCCTGTTCCTGGGGTACTGGGCAAATCCTGGCTCTATCTCTAGGACAGGACTCCCTGCCCATAGCCTTCTCTGTCACCTTCTCCTGCCAGCTGGAACAGCCTTTCCCCTGGGCATGAGTGAGGGGTCTTAAAGGTCTTGAGACCCCTTACTCCTACATCCAGGCTGAGCCCCTGTTGCTCCCCAGGTCTGGCACATCACCCCAGGCCCTCATCATCTCTGCTGAGCCTCTGGGGGAGAGGGAGGTGTGCTAGCCAGAGGGACATAGTCCCAGAGAGACCAGCCCAGAGGGAGACAAGGCAGAGATAGGGAGAACAGGGGATGGGAATAGTCAAGGGCAGAGTCAAAGATGGGCAAGGGGAAGAAGAAAGAGGAAACAGCCAGAGGCACAGCAGCTGTGTCCCTTTCCTCTATCCACAACAAAAACGGCTGTGTGGCTTTCTCCTGAACTGCTCCAGCGATGTGCAGACACTAGTGTGCAAGCAGAGAGGAAGTGGGTAGCTGGGTTTACTGGATGGGGCTGTGGTTCAGGGGCTCAATCTCAGTCCTAGCAGCCATGGCAATGGTCAAGGGCTTCAATTCACAGACTCAAACCCACACTCTTCTCTGTGACTTGCTTTTGTCCCTGGTCCACTTGAACTTTCATTTCTCCCTTCCAGAGTGCCTCGGCCACTGTGCCCTCAAATGCCCCAAGTGTGCCCCTCCTTCACACAGTCTGTACAGGTCACCTTCTTGAAGGAGCCTTCCCTGATCACCTCTTCTAGAATGGCAGCCTGCCATATCCCTCTGTAACTTAATTTTTCTTCACAGCTTGACACTAGGCCATGAGGCATTGGCTTAATGTCTGTCTCCCCAACTGGAATGTAATGTCACCACTGCATCCCCGGCTGTCCATACTGCACTGTCCATACAGTAGGCATGATGCACTGGTGGCTATTTAAATTTGCCTCAATTAAAATTCCATAAAATTTGAAGTTCAGCTCCTCAGTTGCCCTCACCACATTTCCAGGGCTGAGGAACAGTGTGTGGCCCAGCAGCTACGGGACTGAGCAGCCTGGACAGGGAACATTTCCATCATCCTGTGTCAGGAATTGAGGAATATGAAGCAGGTGTAAGCACCACCTCAGGAAGGCCAGCGGCTTTGCGGAGCAGGTGTGACCATTGTGCCCTCACGCTCCCTTCCTGCCCTTCCATCTGCCCCAGGCTCAGCGCTGCGACGCCTCCCACCCCGCCCCACTTCCCAGCACCATGTGCTTCCCTTCTCCAGCCCCATTCTAGATTGTAATTGCTTATTTGTGAGCCCCATCCCCACACCTCAGTGGGAACGTCAGAGGAACTGGGGATGCCTCCTATCTCTACTGCCGGAGCCCCCACAGAGGGCCTGGGGAAATGTTAGCTTTTCACCCTCCCCCATCCTCTAAGTCCCTGATGCCCAGTTTCAGACTCCCCATCTCCACACCCAGGTCAGAGGACTCCCCCACTGCCTGAGCTGCTGAAACCAAGTGGCCACAGGCTAGGGTGGGGATAGGACATGCCCTGTGGTTGCTAGGGAAGCAAACCAGGAAAAGGTGCCCTCTTCCACGCTCGCATTGCATCTGTAGGTCTTATTTTTCCAGAGCTTTCTCATACAAGTCTTAATAACGTAAGTCAACATGGTACCTTCAAAAGAGTGGGAAAGGCCCAGCTTGGTTGTGGTGACTGTGTTCGGGGAAGCCCTGTGCTACCTCTGGGCACATTCCCCCTGCCTTCCTTGCCTGCCTCCTGCCATAGGACAGCCCTCTTTAGAGAGCCCTGGCCAACCTCCCCTACCTCCCTCTCAGGTGCTCTGGCCCAGGTAGCAGGCCTCCAGCTAGGCAGGAGTTAGGGCAAGGCTCAGGGCCATGTGACAGTAGGAGAGAGGGCACCAGATGGGTGACATGTCCCCAACCTCAGCCCCACCCCAGCCTGCTCAGTCAGGATTCTGAGCCCTCCAGCTGAAGTCTCCCCGGCTGTGCAGAGAGCCACTCTGCTCCTGTTCCCTTTGCCTTCCACCTCCCAGAGCCCTTGGGTGTGGGCCCCTCATGCCCATGCACATGATGCCAGTGGGGAGTGCAGCCCCTCAGAGGCCCAGAGGCTGGGGAGGTGCTTGACGGTGGGTGGGGTTGGGATAACAGGGGCTCAGAGGCTGGGAGAGAAGCTCAGATGTACATCTGCGCAGGTCCAGGGCCCAGAACCTCTCCCCTCCTGCTTCTCCAGGCATAAGCTTGAGGAGTCAGGAACGGCATTTTCCAGGGAGGGCATCCTCACAAGCCTTTGCAAAACTCCTGATTGGAAGCCACAGAGGGAGGTAGACACAGGAAGATTTGTGGGGGTTAGTGTGGACCAGGGGAATCCCGTCAGGGGCAGGTGGGAGGTATGTGAAGCCCTGAGCTAGACTACCCAAACACCTTTATTAAAGGCTATCTGCTTTAGGGTAGAATCTCAGGGGACACAGTATCCCCATCCTGGCCCTGGCCTGGGAAAGCCAGCACCCTCCTGCCGACCTCAGGCTCCTAGAGACCCACCAGAGCATTGGCTGATAGGAGAGGTCCAGGCTGCATTCCGACTGGTTGGAGGATGATGTCCTCCCTTTGGCCAGAGCCTCCTCTTTCAGCATGAGAGAATGCCTCAGGGGGGACCTCAAGAGGTTTCCCAGTGACATCTGGTCATTCACTCCACCCCACTCTAGCCCAGGATGGTGGTGGGGACTTACCCATGCTCACAGCAGAAACCCAGGCTTTCAGAGTACCAGTTCCTTTCATTATGGTAGCTCCTTGCTCCATGTTCCAGAGCTAGAGAGCATCATCGAGAAGATCCCCCCATTCAATAGA